ATGTAAATCATAACTAGTTTTTTTAAATATATGTTGGTAAAATAAAGCTTTAGTCTATAAATCATAATTTTGTTTTTAAATATATATTGGTAAAGTAAAGCTTTAAGCTAATTGAGCATGGTGAACAAACCCAAATTTGGATGATCGATATCGTGGCTTAGCCAATTTAATAAAAATTTTTTTTTAGTTTTTTATACAGTTTAAAGTACTTTGTATTCTCGTGATTTTTTGAAACTTACCAATTAAGTTTACCCAAAAAAAAAAAGCAATTGAAAGATCTTTGACTGCCCTGTCTTCTATTAAAATTAATCCAAAATAATCCCAATATCCAAAAAGTTTTATTAGAAATGAAGTTTATAAGAGATCTAAGGTAGTTAAACCCATAATTAGAATACATGAAGGATATTTTAGTGTCAAAACCAAAGACTAACAATGCAAAACTAAGATCTAGTCTTTTTTTAAAAAAGCTAAAACAAGTTTAAGTAGCATTTATATGAAAAGCAGAGTAAAAAAAGATAATTTAACTCATTTTTATATACTTTAAATCTAAAGTTATATATATTACAAATGAGTTTGTTATTTTATAAGTTAAATTTTAATTATTTTAACTATTACAATTTAAAATACAAATAGGAATAATTTAAAAACAATTAACAAAGTATATTTATTGAATAGATTAAGTAGAAATAATTTATGACCAATCATTTAATTTCATGTGATCAATCATCCCCATACTTTTATTGGACAGATCGGTTCTGAGTCACAAATTTCAAGTTTAGAAGTTTGTACTACTATGATTATCTACCATACTGGATTTTATTTTTAAATATATTTTAGTAAAATAAAACTTTAAATCAATTGTAACTTTAAGTTTATTTAATATAATTAATTTAAAGCATAGCATTACAAATAGAAATTTACGTAACTTTATTTTTAAGAACATATTTAAAATTATGATATAAGTAGTTCAAAATAGTTGTGAATAACCTCAAAAAAAAATGCCTCCAATTGATAAAAGTAAATCAAGTGGTAAACAAAAATGCCTATGATGTGATATTCATTTTGCAGATTTACAGGAACATGCTAGAAGAATTCATGGAATAGCAAATTTAAGTTCACTAAAACAAGTAGTTTTACAAAAAAAACAACACTATGACTAGACAAGAAAGAAAAAACAAAAGATTATACAATAAACCCAACTACTTAAACTAATTGATAGATATGTTAGGGTTCTCTGTGCTCAAAAATATAATAGACTTGAAAACAGTAATTTAATAGATAAAAAAATTAAATGGTTCAATAATTTGAAAAAACATACTAAAGATTTGGATGAAGATGATATCTCGTTTTTTAAATCAATTTATTCTGATTTTAAAAAAAAAAAAAACAATAGTGAAAAAAATTAATACGTAAGTATTTTTTATCATAAGTATTTTAAGTAAGTATTAATTATTGATATAATATATATTTACTTAGATTACTCGAACAAGTTGATGATCTTAAAAATGAACTGCAACAAGTTAAAAATACGCTCAATGAACTAAGAAACGGTAGAGAATTAGTTTCAATGACAAATCTTAATCAAAAAATGAAGAAATTAAAAAATTAACAGAAACAATTTTTAAATTAAACTTGAAAAGTAAAACTAAAGATGCTATGATCATATCCTTAGAAAATAAAGTAAATTTTTATATTCAATAAGTAAAAAGTATAGATTATTATTTCATGTTTTTTTGTTTAATATTATTTTTTTTATTTTTTTAACAATAACAGATTGAAGAACTAAAAATGAAACTGATATATTAAGAACTAATTTTGATTTGGCAGATGCTGAAAGGAGAAATAATGAAATAAAAGTAAATCTAATAGTTTTAATACTTTAATATACTTTATAAAAATTTCTTATATCATTTTATTATTCGTATTTTTGTAGATATATAATTTTAAATCTGACTTAAATGCTATAAATATTAAATATACTAATTTTGTGAAAGATTATGAACGTGAGATACAACAGAAAGACAAAATAGAATCAGACCTTCTTAATCAGGTTGATCTTTTAAAAAATCATATCGATGAGTTAGAATCATCTTTAGGTATTTCTACAAGAAATTACAAGCAAATCACTAATAAAAAAAAATATCTTTTAGAGAAATATAGTGAAGATGAAACAGTTATTATTGAATTAAATTTTAATAATTTTTATATACTAGTATATTAATTGCTTCATGAGATATTATTATGACTGTGCTAAGCCAGCCAGTCATAAATGTGAGCCCAGAAGGCTATTTATTTTAACATATAAGATGCTTTAGAATCACATGTTTCAATAAAAATATTACTTATTACAGTATTATTAGATTAAAACTCTTAAAACTCAGACACAGTTGAATATTGTATCTATTAAAAAAAATATGATTGGTTTCATGTGATGAGGATCACGAGTTAGATAATTTAGTATAAATAATTTTCGAATTTAGATCACATTTGTTGACGATATTTAGGTTATTATAAGACATTTTTTTAAGATGATTGTTGTATTCGGTATTGTGATGCCAATACTTCTTATGCAAAACTGGTAGTAGCAGCAGACACTTGGCTTGAAAAACATATATGAGAAGCCATCTACTAGTATATTACAAATTTATGCTATATAATCTATGTGTGTTGATAGTCCAGTTGTTATATTTTATTATCTTCTCATATTTCATTGAATATAATATATTCTAAATTTTGAATTACTTATACTATTGTTCTATGACAAACTGCTTTGACAAACTTTGAACTATTCATCAAGTTTATTAAAAAATATTGTATCTATTTGAGCAATAATTGCAAAATTTTGCTATTATTCTATACTTGTTAAAATATCAGAGAAATATATATAATTAAAATGTATTTTAGTATATTTCATACACATTAAAAAAAACTGATTTTTAAAATATTTGTAGGTAATTTATTGAATTTTTTTCAATCCTGATAATTTCTGGATGAATAGAAAAAATGAGACTTTTTTATTTTTTTACAAAAAATAATGAATGAATAGTGATTAAGATTCTTATGATTGGTACATTAATTATTTATTTGTTTATATTTATAAAATGAACTAATAAGAATTTACATAACACAACCTAGTTGGCCACAGTCAATACCCACTAAAGGTATTTGTATATGTGCTAAATATTTGTAATAAAAACTTGGACTGTTGCACATTGGCATATGCAGATCATTTTTTGTCTATTTTATCAAATCACATAATATGAAAAAATTATACAAATATTATTTTATAAAACAGATATGTACAAAAAAAATTATATTATTCTATTAATATTTAACTTCTTTTGCTTTATTAACAATTATATATGTTTTGAGACAGACTTTCTTGTATAGAAACATTTTGAAAAGCAAATTGATATATATTTTTTATTGAAAGAGAATTATATTCATTTGTACAAATTATTTCTATTTCTATTAAATTTATGATTAGCTATTTCTACAATACTTTTTTTGTTTCATTAGATTCAAGTTTTCTTGTTTCAATTCAACTTGTATTTCTTCTACTTATTCTCAAGACTTTACTACAGATTAACAAATTATGCTATTAAATGTAGTTTACCCACAATGTATCTACTAAAAAAAACAAAAAAACTAACTATAACAAAGAAAACCACCACCAAAAATTGATAAAATAAGTCATTCCTGAGTCTCTCGCAAAAGTATTCAGATTTTTATGTTTGGCACTTTTATTTTCATTAACATTTATATTTCTGATGATCCTGGTAAAACTTTTTTCCATGATATTTTCTAGACTTCTTTGTCTCAGTGTTCTTTTGACCTTTTTCATATGTTCAGCATTATTTTCTTGTAATTGTTGACTCGTTGTTTCTTCTTTTATGATAATATTTTCTGTCACATTTCTTTACTTATTCTGACAAAGAAAGGTGACACTTGTAATATCAGTTTAATATTTGAATTTAGCTTTTAACTAATAAATCATACAAAAGCACATTTAATAACCAATTTAATTTATTTTTTTTTATATATTGATATTGTGTATAGACAATATAATTATTTATATATTCATAACTTAAAATAAAACAGAAAAATTATATACAAGTATATTTCTATATGTAGAAAAACCCCTATGATGTATGTGTTAGCATCAATTGATATCTGTTAGCATGACCTTTATGGAAAGTTTGAATGTTCAATCTTTTTTGAGAAACACATATGATTCTGAAGACTTAAAATGTCTATCTTACACGCAAATTCAATTAAAGCTTGGTGAAAAATTCACACATATAAATTCATTTGATCCTTTTTAAAATCTCAAATTTTAATACAATATCACTTTGTCTAATAATGTCTCGACCTTGTATTAGAAAATACAAAATCCCAAATGTTAATATATGACAAATAGATTTTGAAATATACAAATCAAAATTTCCAAATTCTTTGAAACAAGATGTTTCCTTTTCTAACTAATAGAAGGTTCATAATCAACTTAGAAGCATTAGAAATGAAAATAATTTTACAGATGAGTTTTATACTGCCATATGAATTTATACCAATAGGTCTAAAAAATCCGACCATAGTATTATCGACGTTAATAATATTTCTTTGAGCAACATCTCCTCAGATTCTTTCTCACCCTACTACATATCTGAAGATGATTAATCAATATTATTAGATCATTCACATGTAAAAAGAAATAATCAAAAATCTGATGCTCATATAGATGAACAAGTAGAGATATCAGATAATGCATTTAATCGTCCACCTCTACCTTCAACTGATCTGGTTTCTTGTTCTACCCAGAATTCAGAAACAAAAAATGAACAACCTATTCACCAATCACAACTACAACATCTCAATATCAATATATATACCAAAAGTAATGATCAAAATTGGAAAATGATATTAAAAAAAAATTGGTATTTTATAGCAATTTCTGCTATCCCTTAGATTGTAACACAGGCAAATTTGCCTGCATATTTTAAAATTTTTAATAAAATTTTAAATATTGATT